CAGATCTCTTTAACCAATCAGAGTCACTCCAGATCTCTTTAACCAATCAGAGTCACTCCAGATCTCTTTAACCAATCAGAGTCACTCCAATCAGAATTACTACAGATCTCTTTAACAATTCAGAGTCACTCCAGATCTCTTTAACCAATCAGAGTCACTCCAATCAGAATTACTACAGATCTCTTTAACAATTCAGAGTCACTCCAGATCTCTTTAACCAATCAGAGTCATTCCAATCTGAATTACTCCAGATCTCTTTAACCAATTAGAGTCACTCCAATCAGAATCACTCCAGATCTCTTTAACCAACCAGAGTCACTCCAATCGGAATCACTCCAGATCTCTTTAACAAATTAGAGTCACTCCAATCAGAATCACTCCAGATCTCTTTAACCAATCAGTCACTCCAATCGGAATTACTACAGATCTCTTTAACTAATCAGAGTCATTCCAGATCTCTTTAACCAATCAGAGTCACTCCAATCGGAATTACTACAGATGTCTTTAACCAATTAGAGTCATTCCAGATCTCTTTAACCAATCAGAGTCACTCCAGATCTCTTTAACCAATCAGAGTCATTCCAATCTGAATTACTCCAGATCTCTTTAACCAATTAGAGTCACTCCAATCAGAATCACTCCAGATCTCTTTAACCAACCAGAGTCACTCCAATCAGAATCACTCCAGATCTCTTTAACCAACCAGAGTCACTCCAATCGGAATCACTCCAGATCTCTTTAACAAATTAGAGTCACTCCAATCAGAATCACTCCAGATCTCTTTAACCAATTAGAGTCACTCCAATCAGAATCACTCCAGATCTCTTTAACCAATTAGAGTCACTCCAATCAGAATCACTCCAGATCTCTTTAACCAATTAGAGTCACTCCAGAATCACTCTTTAATAATCTCCAGATTTGCATCAGTTCATTCAGAGCTCACTGCTCACTGACAGTGTTCATATATGTGTGTGTGTGTGTGTGTGTTATGATGATGATGATCTTCATCAGCTGGTACTGCAAGAACATCAACAGAGCTGAAGCAGAACATTTGCTTAGACAAGAGGTAAAGAAGCACATGCATCAATCATCAGTAATTGATCCATCATCATCGATCGCATCAACATCTGTATCATCTTCCTCGTGTGTTTCAGGGGAAGGACGGAGGGTTTGTGGTCAGGAGCTCCAGTCAGCCCAGCAGCTACACCGTCTCCGTTTACACACACAGGTAAAGATTCTCCATCAGTTCACTGACTGATCGCCTGATCTGCTGACTGATGGATTGATGGATTGATCAGTTCAGGTAAAGGGGAGGTGAGGCACTACCCTCCAGATCTCTTTAACCAATCAGAGTAATTCCAGATCTCTTTAACCAGTCAGAGTCACTCCAGATCTCTTTAACCAATCAGAATCACTCCAGATTTCTTCCAATCAGAATCACTCCATATCTCTTTAACCAATCAGTCACTCCAATCGGAATTACTACAGATCTCTTTAACCAATCAGACTCACTCCAGATCTCTTCCAATCTGGTACTGCAAGAACATCAACAGAGCTGAAGCAGAACATTTGCTTAGACAAGAGGTAAAGAAGCACATGCATCAATCATCAGTAATTGATCCATCATCATCGTCATCATCAACATCTGTATCATCTTCCTCGTGTGTTTCAGGGGAAGGACGGAGGGTTTGTGGTCAGGAGCTCCAGTCAGCCCAGCAGCTACACCGTCTCCGTTTACACACACAGGTAAAGATTCTCCATCAGTTCACTGACTGATCGCCTGATCTGCTGACTGATGGATTGATGGATTGATCAGTTCAGGTAAAGGGGAGGTGAGGCACTACCAGATCAAGCAGACAGACACGGCTCAGTTCTTCTTGGCAGAGAATCACGTGTTCGGCTCTATTCCTGAACTTATCAACTACCACAGACACAACGCAGCAGGTAATTCTGTTCACCTCTACTCTGTGGTTCTGCTGCGACGAGCTGCTGATGATCTGTCTGTGTTTGATCAGGGCTGGTTTCCAGACTGCGATATCCCATCGGCCCCATGGGCACATGTCTGCCGGCCACAGCGGGATTCAGCTCAGGTCAGACACTCTCACAAACACACACACACACACTCACATTCTCAAACACACACACACACATACACACACACACACACACACACTCTCACACAATTTTCAAAAAACTTCATTCTGTATGATTTATAAGCTTTTGTACCCGTGGGGACCACAATTTAGGTCCCCACCGTGACACGAGTCCCCATGAGTCTGTGTGTAGTCAGGTTTAAGTCCCCACCAGGATATATAAACCAGTACACACACACACACATGAAGGACCATCATCAACCGCTGCACTTTTAGAATCAGAACAAATTAAAACTAGTAATAACACATATAAAAGACTCTGTAAGCTCAAGACACTACATACTAACCAGTGTGTTTTCATGCACTGCTCAATTTTTGAGATTTTGCACTATTTTGCTTCCATATCATGTCTGTTCTTTCAGACTAGTGGAAAGAAAACATCTAATACACATTTAAGTGTTTATTTTATTGCACTTTATCTGTTTGCGTCTGTAGATTTCAATCTTTAAAGAGTTTTTTCTCTTACAAACACCAAACTTTACAGTTTTATTCCTCTCTATATTCTGAAGGTTTGTTCATTATCTCATTCACACTGATTTATACAACATTTCACTCCTAAAAACATGGTGAAAATGTGTTTGTTTTCTGTCTGTTGACAGTATTTTCTGATTTATGGAGTGATAAAAAGAGAAATCCAGAATCCCTTCTGGAAAAACATTTAACTCTAATATGACGACAGAATCAGACAAGAATTATGAACCTGGATTCAGATTTCTGTTCTGGAAATATAAGCAAATTTAACTAGACAATGCCTCATTTACTTTTTCAAACATAACATTTAGGAAAACTCGTAATACAAAGCAATTAAATTAATGTTCTGTGATTAATGAATACAGCTGTACGTGTATCAATGTGCAGAGGAGGGGAGAGTATTTACAGGTGCTATGGAGAAATAAATAATAAATGAATATATGTGTCAGACTTTTGGACCTGTTTTGCCCCGGTAGTCCGTCCTGTGTTTCCTTATTTGGTCCTTCCTGTTTCCATTAGGTTCCCTGATTAGTTCATCATTTGTTTCCAGCTGTATTTAGTTAATCATCCTCATTTCCCTGTGTACTTAAGTCCTAGTCTGTTCAGTTTGTGTTTGTCAGGTCTACTCGTTCTCTACGTGTGTTGACTCGAGCGCCTATTGTGGATTATCGCATGTGTTTCGTGATTAAAGACTGTTAAACATTTCCTCGTGACTCCAGCGTGTTCCCTCAACAGTGTGACGTGACAATATGAATAAAGCAAGATTGGGTTCGTTAGGGTTAGAAGTCTTGATTAAAACAAGAACAAATATCTGTCAACGGTGTCAGAAAAAGCAGCTTTGCTTTGAATTCAGTTGATCCCATTGAGTAAAAATAACTCTTTGCGTGTTATTTCCTGTCTAAGTGGGCGGATCTAACCTAATGACATTTACATGAATGCATTTGGAAGACGCTTTTATCCAAAGCAAATTACATTGCATTCCGAGTATTTACATTTGATCGGTTCTCGCGCTCCCAGGGAATCGAACCCTTGACATTAGTGTTTCAGATGATCTACTCTCTGAGCTACAGGAAAACTCATTAACGCCCATTAATAAACTAGAGCTGACGACTACATCACATGCTGATGTGTGTGTGCAGATAAATGGGAGATCAACCCATCGGAGCTGACCTTCATGAAGGAGCTGGGAAGTGGTCAGTTTGGAGTGGTGCGGCTGGGAAAATGGAGAGCGCAGCATAAAGTGGCCATTAAAACCATCAATGAAGGAGCCATGAGTGATGATGATTTCATAGAGGAAGCCAAGATCATGACGTAAGACACACACACACACACACAATGAACAAGTGGAAAGTTGCTGAGAAGCTGGAAAGTGTGGTTGGTTGGTGGGTGGGTGGGTAGACGTGTGTGTGTGAGAGTGTGTGTGTGAGACTTCCTGAGCCGCGAGTGATAGATTCTTATCAATCCTTCATTCAGCGTCTGTTTCTCATTCAGTCTGCTCTGCGAGTCGCTCAGACGCTTCTGGAAGAATCTGGAGGTGTGTGTGATGGAAACACACGTCACAGGAGAGAAAAACTATGAGTGAGATCTCTGTAATCTCTCAGTGAAGTTAAACAGAGATCAGACAGAGGCGTTTGCTGAAATCTTTCTCTTCTCCGTCAGTGATTCCATGAGATTGCAAAGATCTATGCTTTAGCTTTGTTCCTGGGTCACAAAATTAGGTATAAAAACATTGTGAGAACATTGTTTCTAAATATTTCTAAAACGTTAAAATGTCCAGTTTTCTCGTCTTAATTATGACATTATTTAACGGGTGCAAAAAACGTTATACTAACTTTTTTGTTAACCAAAATATGTTACTTGAACGTTTGTTTTAATATTCTAAAAGCATTAAAATGTTACCAAAACATTTCTTAAGCGTTCTACTAACTTTATTTTGACCCAAAATATATTGTTATTTGAATGTTTATTTGTAATATTCTAAGAACAATAAATCTCCAGTTTTCTTATCATGATTATAATGTTATTTAAAGGTTACAAAACAACTTTATTTTCCCCCAAATTAACTTTATTTTCACCCATAATGTTATTTGAATGTTTATTTTTTTATATTTTATTAGTGTTAAATATTATTTAAAGGTTACAAAAATGTTTCTTATAACGTTCAAGTACAAATAACATCATAAGAACATTCAAAGAATGTTGATCTCAGAATGTGTTCTTTCAATGTTATGAAAACGTATCTCAAATATTACAGCTTTTTTCAACCGCTTACATTTTCAAAACTTTGCCTCTTTTTTTCAAAACTTTACACACAAATCCAAGAATTGAATCAGAATCAGAATGAGCTTTATTGCCAGGTATGTTTACACATTTGTTTTCGTGACAGAAGCTTCCACCGTGCAACAGAATGACAGTGACAGAACAAAAACACAGATAATAAAAGAATAAAAATAGAACAAGTAAATAGGGAATAACAATATACAGATTGACAATTGTATGTACAGGTATATTACAATAGACAGTTTTGTATGTACAGGTATATTATGTGCAAATTCGAAATGTAAACTAAGTATGTGTGTTAGATAAATAAGTGTATGAGTGAATAAATAGTGTTTTAAATAAATTTTTTATTGTTTTGACATTGTTTAATATACACAATAACAGACAAACAATCAGCTTTGCAACAGAAAAAAACAAACAAACAAAAAACAACAACATGATAAATGAAATAGAAGTATATATATAAAAAAATATAATAATAATAATAATAATAATTTGGTTAAAACTAATCAGTTAAACTGAAGGGTGAATGGCCGAAATATACGAAACAATATTTAAAACCTAATATACTCCAAAATATACAAAGTACAAAGACTATACATGTACAAAAGATTATGTCAAAAGAAATATATACCCATACAAAAATCTTGACATACAAACAATTGGAACAGCGCTGAAAGAAGTCTACGTCAATAAAAAGAGGCAATTATAACCCAAACAGGGAACATTAAACACGACTCTAAATCAATATATATGAAAAAAATAAATAAAATAATAATAATAAAAAAATGAAAATAAACAAAAACAAAAAAAGCCCAAGACCAGAAAGTGTGTGTTTGGGAGGGGGGTGAATCTCCTTAATTCAAGTTAATAAACCTTTAAGCTTCTCTAAAGTATGAGCCCAAAGTCTAATGGTGTGCTCTCTGGCGCCATGAAGGCGAGCAGTGGACAGTTCAAGATACACCACATCTATAAAAGTGAGAACCCGATATTGCTTATTAATAGAATGTGGAGGCTTCTATCTTGTTGCAACAATTTTCTTGGCCGCTGTCAAGCCAGCTAAAAAGACTCGCTTCTGCATTTTGTTAAGTTGGATGTCCGAAAGATCATTTAAAATAAAGACAGAAGGGGACAAAGGGATTGAGACATTTAATATAGTGGACAGATTTTCTTTAACCATATTCCAAAAACTGGCAACGCCAGGGCAATCCCAAATCATGTGATAAAAAGTACCAATTTCCCTTGTATGACACAGCGTGCAATTAGGATCGGGTTTAAGTTTCATGCTATAGAGTTTACGTGGAGTCATATAAGTCCTATGAATAAAGTTTAAATGGATTTGTTGATTATCCGGATTCCTCGAAGCATACATTACCATAACCCAGACTCCGTCCCAATCAAAACTGGGAGAAAGGTCCGGAATATCTGCCCGCCAAGCAGAGTCTATTATCAAAGGAGGGTACATTTTTTCCAGAAAATAACCATATAATTTAGAAACAAATCCTCTTGTTCCCAGAGTCTCACATATTACTTTCAATAAAGGGTGCTCTTTGAGAGGAGCCATCCAAGGGACCCCATAGGCCTTCATGGCTGCCCTCAAAGACCCTCTGTCAACAGGTTGCAGAACATAATGCAGTCCCATATTGACTGCATCATCCACAGACCTGTTTGCTCTGTAGGCAAACTGAAGAGGATCCAGCAAGGGTTCAGTAATGTCCTTCAGGTGGGCCAGCACCAGTTTTTCAAATGACGTCATGACCACAGACGTGTGGTGTGTGTGTTAATTGCACACACAAAATGCAGAATGCCTCACATCTCTTGCAAAATGAAGCACTGCATTCAAAATATCACAAACACATCTCAAAAGCTAACATTTGCAAACACCTTTGACATAATATTAATTCCTGTTAGATTTGTGTGTGTTACATAGAGAACTGTGTGTTGTGTTTTACAAAAAGTGTTTTATGAAATTGAAAACTGAGTCAAAGGCTGAGAATTAGTGTATAGTTTTGCAGATTTGGTGTGTGCTTCTGCTGTTTGAGTGTCAGCTTTCAGAAATCTTGTGACAAGTAAAGATTTTGTGTGTAAGCAGTTGAAAAAAACTGTAAAGGCAGCTCATCATTGAATGTCAAAGTCTGTGACTGCACTCCGATTGGCTGATATCTCAGTGTTAACTTTCATCAGTGACCTGCACTCTTAAAAATAAAGGTTCTTTATTGGCATCAATGGTTCTATTAAGAACCTTGAACATCCATGGAACCTTTCAAATGGAGAAAAGGTTCTTTGTAGTTGAAAAAGTTGCTTTAGATTTTTAAAATGTTCTTCGAATGGTTCTTTTAGTAACTGTTCACTGAAAGGTTCTTTTGGGAACCAAAAAGAGTTCTTCTATGGCATCACTGCAAAAACACCCTTTTGGAACCTTTGTTTTTAAGAGTGTGAGCCGCTGAACACCTTCATTCTGCAGCTCTGAATTTGTGTTGAGAACTGATTCGCTTAACTCTGAGTTTACAGAGCTCAAACTCTGCCTCTGTGTGTGTGTGTGTGTGTGTGTGTGTGTGTGTGCGTGCGTGTGTGTGCAGGCGTCTCTGTCACCCGAAGCTGGTCCAGCTGTACGGAGTGTGTGTCACGCAGCGTCCCATCTGCATCGTGACGGAGTTCATGGAGAACGGCTGCTTGCTGCACTTCTTGCGGCAGCACAGCAGAACTCTGGGCCGCGTCCAGCTGCTCTTCATGTGTCAGGACGTCTGCGAGGGCATGGAGTACCTGGAGCAGAGCAGCTTCATCCACAGAGACCTGGTGAGACACGGCAAAAACACACAGGACCTGTTTGAGACACGCGGACAGGAGTACACTGGTGTGAAGATCAGCACATCTGAAGCTCTTCCCAGCTCTTTTCTGATGTTGATGAAAATTTAGTTGTGAAGAATCATTAACACCAACAGTAAAATTATCAAACAAAATATACAAGTTTAATAAAAAAAAAAGTTTGTCAAAACAAACTTTAATGTTGGCTTGACAAAGCCTGGCCATATTTTAAAAGTTTGAGGTTCGATGGTTTTAAGGCCATGCAGTCTGTGAAACAAACATGTATAGATGAATAGATATAGATCTAAATAGATAGTCACCTTTATTTTTATAGCACTTCCTACAATAAAGAATGCTGCTTCACGTATCGGTATGAAGAGTATGTTGTTTTTCTCAAGACAGAGGTAAATAAATAACATACAAACTGATCGCACAATTCACATGTACATCAGTCGATCAGACAGCGGCAGAAGCATAAATGTTGTTTTTCCGGTTGGTTCAGCTAATGCTGACGCTGCAGCAGATTATTGTGCTTTGCTCTGTGTATTGTGCTGATGTACAACAGCGACAGAGATCTGTGATTACAGACAACATCTCAGCAGTCAGATGAATCCAGAAATGACACACAGTCACGGATGACTGCAGTATATCAGGGACTGATACTATGTTTGTGTGTGTGTGTGTGTGTGTGTATCCGTAGGCTGCGCGGAACTGCCTGGTGAACGAGAGGAACGCGGTGAAGGTGTGCGACTTTGGCATGACCAGGTCAGAGTCCTGACCAGCACCTAACCTAACCTAACCTTAACTCTAACCCCCCTTCAGTTCTTCTGATCTGTGCCCAGCTAACAGGAAATGTTCTCAGAACGTTCTGCCAAGGTTCTCTTAAAGGGGTCATATGATGCGATTTCAATTTTTCCTTTCTCTTTGGAGTGTTACAAGCTCTTGGTGCATAAAGAAGATCTGTAAAGTTGCAAAGACTAAAGTCTCAAATCCAAAGAGATATTCTTTATAAAAGTTAAGAGTCAGCCACGCCTACCTAAAACGGCTCGTTCTAACACACCCCACATGTCTACGTCACGATGTGAGAAGATTTGCATAACGCCGCCCAAACGTTCACGCAAAGAAAGAAGGCGTAACTTAAAAATATTTGGCTGCACAACTGTTGATAATTCTAATAATAAATCAGCATATTAGAATGATTTCTGAAGATCA